CTCCTGTGTCCCTTGGATAAATTCCTAGCAGTGCTATTGCTGTAACCCCACCATTTTCTAAGCCACCCCTTGGCACCAAAGATGGTTAGGAGATCCCAGGGCATTTCTTTATCTTTCTTATCTTTTCTTCTTTATCTTCCACATTCTCTGTCCCAGAGGGGAGGGCATCAGGACATAAACTGCCTGGGAACTATTTGTGTCCCTACCCTCAGTGGTTGCATCCAGTCCCAACCTACCAATGGGAATAACATATATAAAGTTTGACTTAAATGATCCATACCCATCAAGAGGACTGGTCAGTTCTGGAGGGTCTGGTCTTCCTCCAGAATAGTCTTTTCCAGATCATCCTTCTGCCCCTAGAGAGTAGAGTAGGTTATTCATTCTATTCAAACCAAACGAGCTGACTGTAACTAGGCTTTTCCAGGAGTCAACTTGATTTCACCATGGCCAGGCTTATTAAATTATATTATGCTAATAAAGCCGGATCCAGTGACTACCATCTCCCTGTGGTTTTGGGTTATCTTCTCCTTCTACCACATACACTTCTACCTGCCATTTCTTGAATACATACTATGTGCCAGGTTACTGTGTGAGGAGCTGGAGGTACAGAGGTACACAGGTCTCGCAGCTAAGGAACCTTCACTCTGGCTGGGGAGGCAGCCAGCTAATCAGAAAATCATGGCACAGAGTGCTGTAAGTATGACAAACCTTGGAAGCGACTGCCAGGGTTAGGACCATGCTCCATCCACCACTTGCTGGCTGTACTGCTTACCCTCTCTGTACCTCGATTTTCTCCTGTGTGAAAAGAAGATAATATCTACCTCCATGTGCTTATAGTGAAGGTTAAAGAGTTTATACGTGTAAAGTGCTTAGAACAGCACCTGACACATAGTAAGCACTCAATAATTGCTGGCTTTTCAAGGTCCACAGGTGACACCAAGGAGATGGCTGACTGAATCAGTGGGATTCTCTGGATTTTCTTTTTCTTTCTTCCTGACTGGTCACTACTAAAGAATAAGCCTGCTTACTTTGAAAGCTATGACCCCCCTCCCCAGAAAAATATCCTCCTCACTGTCGCATGGCTTCCTGCATGTGACCACATCCTCCTTGGAGCCAAGTCATGGTCCCCTGAGGTTAGGGGCCCTCAAGAAGGATGGCAGGCACAGCCTCTCAGAGTCACAGAACCTCTGCCCTTCCCCACTATTGCTGTTGCTTTTGAGTTTGGTCCCAGCTGCCAAACTGAACTCTGTGTCTTGTTGGTTTTCAGGCCCTTCTCTGCCCCCTGGTGGTTCTGGCTCAGCCTGACTGGCATTAATCTGGCTGGTGCTTTAGGGGTCAAGTTTGTTGGCCTCTTTATCATCCTTCAAGTGGGGTGGAACACCATTTCAGACCTTTGGCACCTGTTTGGAGACCTCAGTCTTTCAGTGGTGAGAACTCAAGTGCTTGTAGAAATGTCATTGCTCCGTGGTGTTGCTCAGCAGAGCCAGGGGCCTTTCTCTGCCTTTGGTGCAGGTGATGGAGTGGCTGTATTCTGGGCCCGAGGTGGGATCCATCTGGCCACTGTCCGTAGGCAGCATGACAGCAGAAAGTAGGCCATGGCTGAGAAGCTGGAGAGGTGTAAAAGGAGAGGATGAACTAACATCCTTGGAATTTTCTTTTGGCATTTGTTTCTGTGATATTTTTCAAATACTCTACAAACTATCTAGCCACGGGATTCTGTCCAGCTGGGCTCAGATGCTGGCTGCATGGGATGCTAGGTCAATTGGGTAGGATGACTTTCTGAACTCACAATTTTCTTTTTCTCACCCAGGGTCTCCAGATTTGGAGGCCAATAAGGGCCTTTAGAGTTTATTACTTTAGAGTTTATTAGCTGATTCTGTGCCAAGCACTGTGCAGAATGCTTTAGTTCATTATCTCATTTACCTCCCATAACAGTCCTATGAAGTAGGTAGTTATTACCTTCTCCTTACAAATGAGGAAATCAAGACCTAGAGAGGTAATTATGTTCCCAAGACCATACAAGAGTAAAACGTAGATCTAGGATTCAGACTTAGGGGAAGCTGATTCCAGGCCTGAACTACTTTGCTATAACGCTTCTCCATCACCTCTGAGCCAAAGTTCCAAGTTCATTTATTCATTCAGAAAATATAGACAGACAACCTTTTAAGTGTGAAGCATGGAATATGCAGATGAATAAAATAAGGATTCCTGTTCTCCAGAGACAATGGAGAGAGAAATAATTAAATAGGCAATTACAGTCCAGCCAAAAAGTGCTGTGAGAGCACAGAGGAGCGTATGAGCCCAGGTCATGTGGTCCAGGAAGGCTTCTGGGAGGAGGCTGAGACCTGATGTTAAGATAAGGAGCAATTATGTGTGTGATGGGTGGGGCTGGCATAGTACTGGAAGCACGGTGACCATGCAGAGGGGACTAATGAGTGATGAGGCCGAAGATGCACGCAGTGTCTTGCTGTTGGCACAGTGCTGGGCTGAGGTCCTGGGTGAGGACCCAGGCAGGTAGCAGAGGGCTGGCCCATGTTCAACCCCCCGCAGTGCTTAGGTGGTGGGGTGTTATGAAAAGGCTAGGGTTTCCACATACTCTTTCTCGTTGGCTGTTAGTTTTTCCATCTTTTATGATTTTGACTGATACATAAAAACCCATGTATAATGTGCATATAAGGTATAAGGTAGAATAAAGCCCCATTTGCCCAGCACCCCTCACTGGCTCTGTTTGCAGGTGACCGTGGGAAAACACCTGACTGCTCGCATCCTGTGCCTCATAGTGCTGCCCCTGACTCTCTACACAGCCACTTACGCTGTTCACTTCATGGTGCTGAACAAAAGGTACAGCAGAGCCTTTCTACCCTCTCGCTTATAGTCTTCCTTTTGCCTCTAAGCCCATGGTGGGGGGGGGAGGGGAATGTGATCTCCTGGGTCTGTGGTTGGGATATTAAAGAGACGGATAGGTTTTACCTGTTTGTTTCCTCCTGTGTTCTATCTTCTGGGTATCCAGAGGGCTCAGAAAAGCAAGCACCCTGACCTGAAGGAAGAGGAGAATTTCCCAATAGCCAAGCTTCCCCTTATCCCTAAACAGAGTCCCTGTGTTTAACCAGGATGGGCCAGAATAAGTTGTGTGGTTGGAGGATAATTATCACAGCAATACCAGCAGCAGCTCCCATTTAACAAGTAGATACTAAATGTCAGCATTTTGTACATATTATCTCAATCACGATCATTTTTGAGTTCTTTGATTTTTTTTAAATAACCCAATTTATAAATGAGGAATTGAGGCTAAACAAAGTGAGGTGCTTCTGAAGATCACCTCACTAGCAAGTGGCTGAGTTGGGATTTGGACCCCTATGTCTCCACCTCCATTATTTGTGTCATTCCCATGATACCACATCACCACTCCATTGTAATTCTCTTAAACTGATTGTACAGAACTCTTCCTAGGGTTCCCGGGAAATTGCAGTTTCCCTCCATGAACTTGTCTCTCTTCTCCTTTCCCCACAGTGGTCCTGGTGATGGCTTCTTCAGTTCTGCCTTCCAGGCCCGGCTTTCAGGCAACAACCTTCATAATGCTTCCATCCCTGAACGTGAGTATCTCTTGGCCTTTATGAAAGTAGAAGGGCAGAAGCCTTTCTGGAGAGGTGAATTGGAAAAGACATGTATGATAGCTTGAGTTATTTTAGCCTATAGATGGTGAACTGGGAGAAAGATCCAGTTAGATCTGGTACAGGCAGGCACTCAAGAGTGACTTGGGACACAGGGTGGAGAAAGACACCCTGAGTAGCGAGCTCTTTGCTGCTAAAGAACGACTTATTTGTGACTATGGAAGCATCCAAGTCAGCTCTGTGGGAAGCCAGCCAGAGAGAATCTGGTGAAAGGGCAAGGCTGTCCAATGCTAGTGGTCAGTTTCCACCATGGTATCCTGTGACTCACATCCATCCAGTTATTCACAGATCAGAACTGAGCACACGTTTGCCACATTGGAGGCTGTAGATAGACGCCCTCCAGAGGATAGGATCTGGTGACTGTGTGTGTTAAATATATAAAGAGGGAACACAGAGCTATGTGAATTGAAGGGTGCAAGAGATCACTTCTGCTAGAGGGTTGGAGGGCATCATGGGCTCATGGACTGAGTTGCCTTGGAGTCAGTCTCTGGAAGAATGGGTAGATTTGAATGGGTGGAAAGGGAGGAGAGGGCATATAGGGCATAGGGGATAGCATGATCAAGGCCAAGAACAGGACACAACATAAGGCGCAGATTATCCACAGAGAAGGATTGGAAGATCAGGCTGAAAGGATAAGTTGGGCCCAGATTATGAGGGTTTGAAACATTTGGGTGTTTGACTTCATAAACAGACATTGGAGATTCAGTGGGGGCCTTTGAGTAGGGAAGAGGACAGGAAGGCTGTGCTATAGGGAGGTGACACTGATGACAAAGTATAGGATGGCTAGGGACGGGGGGGAATTGGAGGCAGAGGATACCCCCTGGACTTGAGCTGGGCGTCATGGCAGCAGCCGTAGGAGTAGGGCCGATGGGCATGTAGAGGGGAGATCGGACATGGAAAGAGGAGGAAAGATGTCACTGAGGACTTGAGCCCAGATAATTGTCTCTTGGAGGCATGACTGTCTTTTAGTCTCTCCAGTGCTTTGTACAGTGCCTAGAACACAGGGGGCCCACCAAGACCATGGATAGAATGAGAGATTGGAAAGCAGGTTAAAAATTGGTTTACAAAGACAAACATTGAGTTCTGCTGTAGAGAGTTTGACTGAGACGCTTGGAGAAATCCATGCAATGGGGCCAGTGGGCTTGGAGCTGATGCTTTCAAAGCAGAAATCAGCCAACTAAAGGAGTAATTGATACTGTGACAGTGGCCAATGTCTGTACGGAAACTGTAGAAAGAGAAAGAGAACAGGGTTGAAGTCAGGTCACCGGGGAATGCAGGAAGAAGGGGCTTAGGAAAGTCTGTAGAGGACAGTCCATGAGGGAGTGTGAATTGAAAAGGGAGAACAGAGCATTTCAAGAAGCAAAGATGGTCATCAGTGTATAGGGCTGCATATGTTAGCCTGAGTGAGAACATAGAAAAATGGAGTTGTGGGGTTTAGCAGATTCCTACCCGGTATTTAAAAGGCTTACATCAGCTGTGATCTCTTCCATCGAGCCAGACTCTTCTTACTCTTTGCATGGGAATTCATCCTACTCTGCTCTGGGCTCCCCCCATGTCACATATTGTTACTCCTTTACTGGAGCATTTGCCCATTGTCCTGTGTTCATTAGTGTGTATAGCCACCTTCCCCAAGACTGGGCTCTCCCAGGGCCACAGCCAGGCCTCCTCCAGCTTTGGATCCACTGTGTAATTGGCACAAAGGAAGAATGAACAAAGGAAGATGGGAGTAGCCTATCGCTGGCAGAGTAAGACCTGTGTCAGTGG